CGCTCTCTGGGGCCTTAGTTTCCCCACCTCGCAAATGACACATTCCTCCCAACACAACTGTTGTGTTTGATACGACAACACGATCCCCCCTCCCCCGCCCCAAAAAAGTGGGCTTTACACCAGTGCCTTTGTTTCCTCATCTCTAAAATGGAGATAACAGTATCCACTTCACAGGGTATTTCCGAGCATGGAAAAATGCTTCCAGCAGATCCTGGCCCACTGGAAGGGCACAATAAATGTTAGTTCTTTTATTAATGCCATCTTTCAGACCGGGGCGCAAATCCTGTCTCTGCCACTTGCTAGCAATGCAGTTTCATGCAATACCATTTCCCTTCTCTGAGTCTTACTCTTCTCATCTGTAAAATGCGGGATCAGCTCCCTGCCCTGTCTTTCTACTAAGGATTTCCTGAGAATCACACAGAGACTGCTGAAAACCGTCTGTTTCTCTCTCTCCCCCCATCCTCCACTATCTCTGCACCTGCAGGGGGCTCACTGAATAACTGTCATACAAATGAACAAATGAAAGATAAAAGAGATTTGTAATTTGTAAACATGCTACAACTGTACCATTTATCCTTTGCTGACACTTGTCTCTGGTTCAGGCACTGTTTGCTGCTTTAAACACACTATTTCCTAATCTTGCCAATAGTGGATGTGATGATTATGATGATGCTGATTTTATAAATGAGGATATTGAGGCTGCTGAGGTAAACTGACTTGCCCCAGGTCATCTATCTAGGAAAGGACAGAGCTGGATTTTGAACCAATGTTCACAGAATTACAAAGCTAGTTCTCTCTCTGATTCCACTTTCATAATTGTTACATCATTCTTTTTTCATGTTACCATTACTGTCCAAGGTCACAGCAAGTTAGCAGACCTACAGTCTTTCTGATTCAAAGCTATACCCTCCTTCCACTACACCAGAGTAATTGGTGGAAATACCCTTCTTCCTTGGGTAGCGCCCTATGCCTAACCAAAGATGGTGGCAGATCCCCCTCCTCTGTAAAAGTCCCTTCTTGGACTGGAATTTTTGCCCCATGTTGAAACCCCTTCTTGATCTCTCTGTATAGCACAGGTAGATGAGTTTACAACTCATCTTGTTAAACTGCCTCCTTTAATAGCTGGGGAGACCAAGGCCCATGGTGGTAAGGTGACAAGATCACAGAGAGCCTAGAACCTAGGTTTCCTAACTCACTCACTCAATTCTCTTTACTCTCTCTGCCTCTGTCTTAATGCAGTGTGGTAGGGGAGCCTCCAAGCTGGGGCAGACACAGGGGCATTTGGGGCACAGAGAGGGGCCAGTTCCCCAATTTGCCAGCATGGCAAATTGTGTCCCATTTTTCTGCAGCTGGGAAATGAGGGTGGAAAAATGGGTGGTCAGGAACCTCTGTGATCTGTACTTCCCCACTCCTCAGGCCTCTGGCACCCCCATCCCCATTCCCACTCACATATTCCTGGAGCAGCTGCTCAGCATATTTGGTGAGGAGGCGGGCAAGGCTGTGTGTCTGACGGATCTTGGCCTCCAAGTGGGGAAGGAGTGAGATTGTGGAGTCAGCCTGTGGGTCTTCTGGTGGGAAAAAGGGGGAGGGATGAGGGCAGCCCAAACCCCTACGCCTTGACCACTTCTTGCAGGCTGGCTCTTCCTTCCTGAATCGAGAAGCTCTGCTCTGAATTCTCCAACTTTTAAGCCGGGCAGGCTATGTCCCATTCCCACCAATGGTAAATGAGGCACCAGACATTCGCCAAACAGTTGTCCTACCTGCAATGTATTCTCTGATGCCAAATCATTGTTGAAATCCTATTAAAGCCAAATTCAAATATTGCCTCCTCAGTGCAGCCTCTGGATTCACCCCTCCCTTAAATTAACTTTTTCCTTTTATTTTAGGCCATTTACTCATACTTCCAAGGTAGTTTTTTTAATGGCTCCTTTATTTGTGTGAATCTGCCTCAGTCTGGGAGCCCTTTGAGGATAGGTTTCACATATCTCGGTACCTCAGTGATGGTGAAGTTTAACATCATTGAAGCACAGAATTTCAAGTCGGAATGCTCCTTTAAGCCCATTCTACAGACTGGGAGACTGAAGTCCCATTTCCTCTCCAAAGGACCTTCTGTGCAAAAAGCTAGAAAGCCGCATCATCCACGACTAGCCTTTCCTAGCGTAAGCTAGAGGGTGGAGCCCCGGAAGCATGACTACATTTCCCGAGCTGCACAGCGCGCCTACCAAGGCATGCTGGGGAATGTAGTCCTGGCCCGGCAACTCCCGCCCCGCCCCCCCACACCAAGTCTGAATTTCCCACCGCCTGTCCCTATCCTTAACAACCTCGACTTTCATCTCCTGTTGTCACTCACTGGTTCCTGTGGTCCAAAGAAACTTCCTTCCCTAACTCTATCTTTCCCTCTGGCCCCCAACTCTGATTCTTTCCCAATACTCAGAGGATCCAGGCGTCCAAACCCAGCTCCCAGTCCTCTCTCCCAGGGTGTACTCGAACCCGTGATCTAGAAACCCTGAGCCCAAGTCCCTGTGAAGGCACAGCCCAGGCCTCCGCTAAACTCTGGCTCTTGTCCCTTCCCACAGCTCACCCACAGCTCACCCGCTCGTTACCTGACACCGGGGCCCTGCTCTCCCCAGTTCAGGCCGCTCCCATCCCGGACCCGGGGTGGCTGGGACCCTGACCCCAGCTTCCAGCCCTTCAGACCCCTGCTCCCCACGGACACTCGACATCCGGCCCTTCAGCCCCTTACCCAGACTTCCCTCCCTCCGGCTCATGCTGGCCCCTGGCTGATCCCGGTTGCCTCCACGCCCCCCTTCCGAAGGGGGGGAGAAGGGGAAGGGGTAGGGGCGTGGCCCGGGCTCAGCCAATCAGGGCTCAGACCCCAAACAATCTCCCCCCCCCCCTCCCGCCCCAGGCAGGATTCCTTGGCTCTGAGCTCAGCTCCCTACTTGCGCAGCCCAGTCAGGAAAGGGGCCTGAGAAGGGTTAGCAGGTTGTCTGCGTGGTGGGTTTAAGACCTTGAGGCTGGGTGTGCCGGGGCCCGGAGGCAGCCCTGGTCCCGCGGGGAGGAGGAGGCTCAGGCTCTGACCTGGTGCAAGACTTAGGGCCGGAGCTTCTTTTCCGAGAAAGCTGATGGGGGATGGGGGATAGGGGTGGGGGGTGGGGAGGGATAGGACAGGGTGGAGCTGGCAGGACCGGAAGGTGCTGGCCCTACCCCCTGTTTGGGGGAAGGGGGGGAAACCGCGATGAGGGCCCTCAGGCTTGGGCCACACCTGCCCAGACAAATACCTTCTGGTCTTAGATATTTTCTCTGTCTCTCTCATTATCTCTCTCTCTCTCTCTCTCTTTCCCCTCTCTCTCATTATCACACCTACTAGGAGTGTGACAGATACACCGTCTCACTTCACCTTACCAGGCCCAGTAAGAGAACCCCTCCCACTTACACACATCTACTGCATGTAGACCTTCATTCTCACCCAGGAACAAGGTACGGGGGGTCGTACCGACATGTCCACCCCACTCACCTGATGCAGATAAACGATGAAAGGTCTGTACACACTTACACCCATAAATTGTTCCCAAGTACCTACTTGCCCTGGGCTCCGGGACCCAGGAATGATCCATATTTGGTCTCTGGCCCCCTGAGGAGCTGGGTCTGATGTGGGAGACCAGAGCAGGTGATGGGGTTTGTGAGTGAAGGGACTGGGAAGGAGGCCTGTGTGTCTGTGAGGGTATTGCCAGAAGCAGATAATTGCCAGAATAAAAGAAGGCATTAACGGGCAGAGGCCATAGCAGGTACAATCGAAGCCAACTGTTGGTAGGGGCCACAATCACACACTTATTAACAGCGAATATTTATTGGGCATTTCCTATGTGCAGGCATTGTTCCAGGAGCTACATTACATATTAACTTACTCTCATGTTATAGCTGAGGGAATAGAGAGATAAGTGAGTTGTCTAAGGTCACTGGACAAGCAGAGCTGGGATTTTCCCCAAGGCAGTTTGGCTCCAGAAATTTGGTTATAATCACTCTCTTATACCTTTAAACCCTCTGGCCAGAGTCCCACCCTTGCAACACACACACATAGCAACCCATGTCATATCTGCTGGCAAACACAGCTTCAAATAAAATCAACCTAAACACACTCATTTGAAGTAAACTTTTAATTGAAGTATAATATGCATAGGGAAAAGTACATTCATCCTAAAGTGTACAGTTCAGTGAATATTCAGAGTAAATATGTTGGGGGGAGGGGACCAACATCAGATTAAGAAACTGAACATGACCAGTCCAAGAGCTCCCTTTTAGCCCCTCTCAGCCCTAAGGGTGACCACTATCCTGACTTCTCACACCACAAATCAGTTTTGTCTGTTTTGAACTTCATATAAAAGGAATCATATAGTGTGTGTTGTTGTATTTGATTTCTTTCATGAGACTTGTCCCTATTGTTGGATGTGTAGCAAGACATCACTCTGTGCTGTGTCCACTGTGTGAACAGGCTACAATTCATTTTCCACTTTCCTCTCGATGGGCCGTTTCCAGTTTGAGGACATTATCAACAGTACTATGAACATTCCAGTACACACCTCTTCGTGCTCATACCTGTGTATTTCTGTTGAGTGTTGATGACCTAGGAGTAGAATTGCTGGAACGTGTAAGTTCAGCTTCTCTAGAAAACTGCCAGTTTTTCAAAGCGTCTCTACCAGTTTCCACTCCCCCAGAAATGAGAGCTCTGCTTGCTTTACTTCTTTGTCTACACTTGATATGGTCTGTTGTTCTCATTTTAGCCATTCTGGTAGGTGGAGAACTCATATTTGCAGCGTCTGGCCGGTAATGGGCAGTCAGTGAAGAGACAGCTGAATGAATGGCTGGAGAAAAACAGTCTGGGAGCGAGAGCCAAGGGAGGCTGGACACATACTCTGCGCACAGCATTCGGGGCCGCCCCCGCGCAGCTCGCCGGGACCGTGACCCCCTCGCGCCCTCTGGCGCCCACGTGGTCTGAACGCACCGCCTCAGCCCAGCTGCGCGCGTCTTGGCGCCGAGCTGTCCCCAACCCTCCCTCTTGGTGGCGGGTAGGGGGCGCTGCGCGCCCGGGCGCCCCGAGGGGGCGGGCCCGGTCGGGGCGGGGC